CACACACACACACACACATACACACATACGTACACACAGATACATACACACACACATGCATACACAGAGATACATACACGCGTGTGTCCTGAAACCATTATTCACTCTAACTAATACTAAAACAGCTGTTAATACAATGCATACAAGCGTACATTATCCAATTTAAAAGAGGGGAGGAAAAAAAATTCATTTTCAGCTGTTTATCTCTTCCCCTTTCTTCTCTCTCTCCCATTTTTAATTTTTCATCTCCTACAATTTAATTTCATCAATCTTTCGCTCAGTTCTTGTAATTATACATTGGAAAAAGTGGTAAGTAAAATTTCAATTCGTTTGTTTACATTTCTTTTTCACTGAAATAATAGGCAAAAATTAGATTAAATAATCCATAAATCTGTATACGATTTGCAAAATCTTCATTTAAATTTGATTTAAACATTATTGTATGTAATACCATTTGATTACTTTTGTAGTTTAAATTGTCAAAAGCAAAAAACCAATGAAATATTATCATATGAGTGTTAAGAAATTTTTCACCAAATATAATCCTCGGTCCAATATAACCAAAATCAAAAAAATATGCCATCACAGTCTATCAGATCAGAGAGTTTTTGTAGGAAAGGAAGCAACATAAATAAGAAAAGTGAAAATTCTTGAAAAATAAAAAAACTTACTTATCGCCATAATTGCACCGTCCGCAATCCATCCATGTTCGACAGAGCTCGGTTTTATACAATTTCGAATTTTTGGGATGTAATGGCGTTACTGTTTGCATGCTCTTTCCTGAAATTCATTCATTTCATCATCTCTCCATAACTTCCTGTACTGAATTGACTAACAGCGGTTATTTCCGGAAGAAAAGAGATAATACTGAAATGGGGAACATCATTCATTTCCAGTGCATTCCTGAGAAATTTAAATATGCAGTTGAAAAGTTATAAATCGAATTTTTCACTGAAAAATGATCCACCAACAACTATGTTGCTGAAAGAATTCACGCAGATTGAAATAATCTTTGACATGCACAGGCCGAAAAGATATCACTTTATTGCCAAAACTATTAGATCAAAAATGATAGCCAAGAAAAAGTTCTCATGAATGACTCATCCAGATGATCAAATTCGAAATTTTGATAAACCAAAATGTTCCAGATGATAATAACTATTTATCTCTCGTCATATAAAAAATGGTTTATTTGTGTTATAAAACGTTACTTAAAGTGAGTTTGAAATTCTAAATGACAAATTATGAATATAATTCCTTTTGGTCACGAATAAAACAGAAAAAATTTATATTTAGTATATGTAATCTATTCTACAGCTGCATGCAACATGATAATTTCAATCGATTAAAGGTCAACTAGAAGGGACAAATTGTTGATATCAATTTATCCGCAGTATCAGCTAAATTTTCATTTAATAAAAAACAGTGGGAAGTTGTCTACATTTGCATATGTTATGCACAGATGACGTCACATTCATAATGGTTAACTTTTGAGTAATTTTTTACAAATTTATATAACTTAGTCAGCCCAATTCAACAGCTTATCGAAATTGAATAAATCATCCCGAAAAATTTCCAATTGTAATTTCCAAAATGATGCGAAAGAAGAAAGGACTCCAACCTGATCCGTAAAACGATGCAAAGAAAGGAAATATTCTAACCCGAACCACATGCTGCTGACGATGTTTTGGTTGCCGTTGGGGAAGTTGAAATATCACTCATCAATTTACACGTACGGCGAATATTTTGACCGGATCGTGCTGCAGCTATCGGCGGCATATATGTACGCTGCAAAAAAACAAATTATCATTGTCATTTCAAAAAATTATACACAAAGATACCTTTTAGAAGACATTCAATTTTGCATTTTTAGCGCTATTCAAGTGTAAACAGCACCATTCATTTTTTTTCTTTCATTATCAAAATACTCTGCAAATTATTATAGTTATTTCAAAAAATGAAGCTTGCCTACAGAAAATATATTCCTTACTTTCCTCTACATTTACAAATTCCTCCGTCATTTTTTTCTTAAATTTCATATATTAGAATCAATAACTTATCCTAAAACTATTTTATGAAATTATTCGGATAAGCCAAATTACCAAATCATCTATTAAATAACTGGAATGATAAAAGGAAGTTTTATCAACTTTTAACATCATTTTCAACTTTCTACTCAGTTGACAAAACATAAATAATATTATGATGTTTCACATGCCAACAAATTGTCCAATTTTTCCTCCCTTTTCCCGTAACAAAAAAAATGAAAATGCGAGACGGACATTTCTTGAAAATGATAAAAATTTATCAAATTTATCTTATTGACTACTCTAAAATTTACACCGATCCTTTTTAATTCCTTCACTGACATTTTACAAAACATTCCTTTAAAATGTCATTTTCAGATTTTTTCTGAC